GTTCCTCCAAAAAATTGAATTATCATCTTCCCTACTTCTTTTCTCATCTTTCTGATTTATTTTATTTTCCTTTATTTATTTTGAAAATTTGAATTTTTCTTCGGCACCCTAAAATCTGATTAGGATTTGGTTAGTTTCTCTTCGTGGGGGTAACACATTTTGACCCCGTGGGGGTAACGAAGTGCTGCTGAAATTTGTGAAAAATCCAAAACTTGGTTAGTTTTTTTTCACTCTCCTCCACCTCTTTATTTATTTTTTTATTTGAAAATTTTAATTTGCGGCATTGTAAAAATTAGTGTGCTTCTTTCAATCTCTCCTTTCTCTTTGCACATTTTGACCCCGTTGGGGTAAGAAAATGCTGCCGAAGTTTTCAAAAACATAAATAAGTCTTCTTCCCTTGCGCTTTACATTTTATTTCTTCATTTATTTTTATTTCTTCTTTTATTTTATTTTTATCTCAAAATTTTATTATTTATTCTATTTTTTTTTCCCCTCCCTTCCATATTATTTTTTTTGTTGATTAGGTCGCCGCTACCCTCCCCTAACCACCTTAATTTCAGTTAGGGTTTTCTTAGGGTTTTCTAGGGTTTAGGGTTCTCCTAACTCCCGCCCCCCTTCCTACTCTCTCGCCTCCTCCCGTCGGGCACCCTGGACCTGGACGGCTCCTCCCCCCTCGAGCGGTTCGGCGCCTTCGTCTCACGCGCGACCCGCAAAATCCGACGCGAGCGTACTCACACATACTCACTCCGCTCCTACGGTCCCCTTCCTCTTACCGGTGGGTCCTTTCCCCACACACTCCTCTGAGGACTACCTCCATTCCCCTTCCGGCCATGGAAGGGAGTTCATCCCAGGAGATCGCCGCGACAGAGTCCACACCCCAGGTCAGTGCGTCGTCAACGACTCATGATCAGACCCATGCGGACACCATGGACCTTCATGCCGTCCTTATAGCAATCCAGACACAACTTAGTACGCTTGGACCGTTGCAAGCGCAAATCAATGCGCTAACCCTCGACGTCAATCGCCTCAAGGGCTCCCCTCATCGCTTTCCCCACCGCTCTCACAACCCTTCCCCTACCGGCTCCAATTCCGGCTTCCCAGGACTCCGGAGACGGAGTCACCATGGTTCCCCCTCCTCTGCGGGTCAGGCCCAACACTCCCACTCAGCAGTGGCGAGTGCTGCTGCCGCTCAGACGACCCCGTCCGTTGCGGCAGTTCTTCCGCCCACAGCCGTCCCTACTGTCTCTACTACTGCCGTAGGTGCTGCGGTCCAGGTACCGCCATCTGGCCCAGCAGTTTCATCGACCCACACTGGTGTTGCTTCCCAGCTTCCCGCACCGGTCGCGGCAATACGGCTCCACCCTTTTCTTCCTGCCTTCGTCCCCCTGCCCCCACAGCAGGGTACCGCCCAGGATGGGATTCCTCCTCCCACTGGGAGACCCGCTCCGCCCCCTCCACTTTCGACCCCGCACACCCAGCGAGTGGCCACTTTACAGGCCACCATTGCGCAGGCTCAGACGGAGATTCTTGCTCTAAGACAACCTCACCCATCACAGGCTGCCCACCCTTCTTCCTCTACCACCTCTTCCGCCCCCATGATGCAGGCTCGTTTCCCTCGACCTGCTCCTCAGCCTCTTCCCTCCTACCTGGCTATTCCGGGACAGCTGCCTGCGAGCGTGGCCTCCTCGTCTGCTGGTCCATCCGCCAGCGACCACGACCCACAGTCTTCCCCCAGCTCTGCCCCTGTAGCGGCCTCGACTTACGCTGCTGCAGTACACTCGCCTCGATCTCTTTCCCCCCGCCATCAACACAGTGGACATCCTCCTGTGTGCACCACGGACATTCCCGAGTATGATGGCACATCCCGTGTCTCTCGCTGGTTGTAGATAGCTACGCACACGCTCTCTATAACGACCACCCGTCAGGAGTTGTGGTGCGATGTGCTCGCACCCAAATTGCGAGGTAGCCCTTCCACTGTGTGGGAGGATCATTATACCCAGCGCCTCTGCATGGGTGACGTCCCCACTCCGGCCGACTTCGCGGCCTTCCTTCAGGACCGTTTCGGCGCTCATCATGACGCCACCAACGCCTTAGACCGCCTCACCCAGACCAGATGGATCGGGTCCTCTGTACCGGCCGACCTGGAGAATCACATTCGGGTGTTTCAGGACGCTCGCCTTGTTTGTGACGAGACGTTCCTCCCGGAGGTCACACTCACCGACCGGTTCCTTGTCAACCTGCCGACAAACTACCGCCTAGAGGTATGGAGGCGATCATTCTCTTCCGCGGAGCAGGCATACGAGGCTACGCGTCAGTACCAGAGGATGTGCGGTCGCTTCTCCGTCGCCCTATCCTCTTCGCGGCCAGCCGCCACCTCCCAGTCTCGGGGTACCACCCGAGGCCGATCCTCGTTTGCTGGTCGTTCTCGTTGCCCGGCTCGACCTGGAGCGCCATTCGCTCGACACTACAGTTCTCTCGAGTATGGAGAAGACACCGCTGTCGAGCTCGATCCTACCATTGGGGACGCCCCCGAGGACATCGAGCTTCGGGACTTCATCCAGTACCACTTGGATGACGAAACTGTCCCAGTGGCCGAGCGCCTGCAGATGGCCATGTGTGCCATGGGTCGTGCACGCAGTCGGGTTGCACAGGCTGGCGCCCGCACACCCACGGTTCCTCAGATAGACCTTCCGCAGGGTTATGTCCCTCCTCGCGTAGCTCTATCCCCTGAGGAACGTGCCGCCCTCGAGGCCCGACGCAGCTGCCTTCGTTGCCGCCTAGATGGACACACCTCCTCACGGTGTCCATACCATACCGCCCTCGATCGGCACTACGCTGATATCTCTCGTCAGCGTCGATCTCAGTCCCCCCCCGGCCCCGCCCGGCCAGCCCCATCCACCTAGCCACGGTGCACTGTGCCCCTGAGGCCTCGCACGTGGCCGGCTGCCCGACCACCGAATCGCGGTTTGCCCCTTTAGCTACCCCACCAGAGGACCCTCAAGACACGACAGACGCAGTCTACTCCGCCCCATCGTCTGTCGAGGTACCGTCTGCCTCCCAGCAGACTGCCGTATCTAGCGCTTCTGCCCCGAGACTTCCGACGCATCGCGCCATTCGCACAACCCGTTGTAGCGCTCAGCTGGTGACCCGCGATGACGTTGTGTCATCTCTCCTAGACTTGAGCATTCTGCAGGCTTGTCAGGAGTGCCTCACGAGACACATCAACATCCTGCGTCGTCTTCTCGCCTTGCTCTCTGACCCTGATCGCACCCTACCCATCATCCCTATTCGCCTAGGGACATCTACGAGGGTGTATCGCGCTTTAAGGGACTCTGGCTCGCAGGGAGATTACGTTCACCCTTGCGTAGTTGAGGAAGCTCGCCTAGCTACCTCTGGGTCTCGCTCTCCTATCTCTGTTACCCTTGGAGATAACAAAACGCAGCGCTTCTTCGATCAGACGGTCCCCGACCTCCACTTCTCCCTCACCCTCCAGCCATCGGATAGTACCCAGACGCCTAGGCGCTACCATTCCTCCGCATACTTCGATGTGCTGGAGACTGGGTACGACTTTATCCTTGGCACTCCCTGGTCTCGCCGGTTCCGTGGCACAGAGGCCGAATGGGCGACTGAGACACTCGTTCTCAAAACGAAGTGTGGTCAGACTCATCGCGTCCCGTTCATTGGAACCACGGGCGACACCCCGCCCAACCTACCTCCCCTGGACCCTCGTCCCTCAGGGTCCCACCTTGACAACACGTTCACTTCCCCTCGTCAGTTTGCTCACTTCATACGACAGGAGGATGTCACGTTCTACTCAGTGAACGTCATGGATCTTCTTCGCTATGATCCACTCTGTCCCGAGGTTGAGCTCATCTCTCTGGAGCCCTATCCCCTTGACCCTTCCTCCATCTTTGCAGCTCCCATCTCTATGTCCATCTGTCAGCCTGCGGCTACCCCCTCCACGTCTCAGGCCCCTGCGCCGTCGACTGTCGAGTTTACACATACGTCTCGTGCCGACACAGCCGCTGAGGAACTCACACGGTTCACGGCAGACTTAGAGACGGTCGTTCGCGACCTGATTCGAGAGTACCGCGACGTCTTTCCCCCGTATTTCTCATACAACGGGATTACCCCGATGCGCTGTGTTGAGCATTCTATCCAGCTCCTGCTTGACTATCGTGTTCACCATCAGGCACCGTACCGACTCTCGATCCTAGAGACGACGGAACTCAACCGTCAACTTGCGTCAACTTGAGGAGCTACTTCGACTGGGTTTCATTAAACCCAGTAACTCCCCTTGGGGTGCACCTGTCCTCTTTGCTCGCAAAGTGGATAGAACTCTCCGCCTCTGCATTGACTACCGCGGCCTTTACCGTTACACGGTTAAAAACAGTTATCCCATGCCCCGCGCGGATGAGCTGTTTGACCGTCTGGCAGGCAACCGCTTCTTCACGAAGATCGATCTTCGTAGCGGTTACCACTAGATCCGCGTTGCCGCAGAGGATCAGCCGAAGACTGCCTTCCGGTCGCGCTTCGGCCACTACGAGTTCACAGTGATGCCATTCGGCCTCACCAATGCCCCCGCCCTCTTCCAGACGGCGATGAACGACATCTTATGGGACATCCTTGAAGAATACATTCTCGTATACCTGGACGACATCTTGGTCTACAGTCGTACCTTAGAAGACCATCTCAGACACCTCTGCGATGTCCTACAGCGCTTACGCAAGCATGGATTCTATGCCAAGCTCAGTAAGTACCGCTTTGCCCACCACAAAGTGGACTTCCTAGGACACCATGTGTCTGACCAGGGTCTCCACACGGACGACGCGAAGATCACTGCTATTGCAGAGTGGCCCGTCCCCACATCTGCCAAGCAGCTTCGCAGTTTCCTAGGCCTCACCAGCTACTATAGTCATTTTATCCAGGGATACGCTAGGCATTCCTACGTCCTTACCTCTAACCTCCTCCGGAAGAACCCGCCGTGGTTTTGGACACACCTGTGCGAGGACGCCTTTCGCGCCCTCAAGAAGGCGGTGACCTGTGCGCCGGTTCTTCGCCTTCCCGATTTTGATCGTCCCTTTATCGTCATCACCGATGCGTCAAATTTTGCAGTAGGAGCTGTCCTTTCTCATGTGTTTCCCTCTCCTCCAGATTCACCTTACCCCCATGTTCCTCCTTTCCCCCCCCCCCTCCTGCTGACACTGCTTCTCGACTGACGCCTACCCTCTCACCACTTCCCTCCACTGACAGTCCTCTTGTTACTTACTCCCCGATCATCGAGGAGGATGGGACTGTCGAGGCTCGTGTTGGTGATTGCCTGATCGCGTTATACTCCCGTCAGCTACTGCCTGCCGAGATAAACTACACTGCCGATGAACGTGAGGTTCTCGCCGTTGTTTATGCTACCCGGCATTGGCGTCATTATCTGCACGGGGCGCCCTTCACGGTGCACATGGACAACTCAGTTGTCCAGACTTTCCTCATGAAGCCTAAGCTTTCCCCTCGACAGGCACGCTGGTGGCGTGACTTATCCGAGTTCAGTTTCACTACTCAGCCCATCAAGGGTGAAATGAACCGCGTCGCTGATGCCTTGTCCCGCCGTCCTGATCACAAACAGGAACCCATCCATCTTTCTGCCATCAAATCACCACTGTTGATCAGTCGGTGATCGACGCGTATCGCACTTAGTACTGCCACTGCCCCGATTATCGCGTCATCCACGCGACATTGCGGAGTGGCAAGACCGTTCCTTCCTACTCCCTCGGGGAGAACGGCCTCGTGTACTGGCATGGCAGATCTGGTCAGCTAGAACCACGTATCTGCGTTCCCTCCACCGGACAGCTCCGCGTCCAGGCTGTAGTAGAGTTCCATGACCAGGCAGATGCCGGTCATATGGGTTTCCACAAGACGTTGGCTCGTGTTTGCCGCCTATACGTCTGGCCGAAGTCCAAGGACTTTGTCAAAGCCTACATCCAGGAGTGTCCTACCTGCCAGGAGGTGAACAGTGCGAACCACCTTCCGTATGGGTTACGTCAGCCCCTACCCAAAACTGAAGGTCGTTGGCAGTCCATCTCGATGGATTTCATTGGTCCCCTTCGCCCACCCACTCAGCGCGGTCATGATGCTATCTTGGTCGTCGTCGATCGCTTCACGAAGCGTGCACGTTTTGTTCCGTGCCGCTATCGCATTAGCGCTCGTGAGGTCGCCGACATCGTCTTTGACCGAGTCATGAGAGATCACGGCTTACCTCAGACCATCATCTCCGACCGTGACCCGCGCTTTACCAGCACATTTTGGCGACCCCTACACGAGCTGTACGGATCCCAGCTCCACTTCTCATCGTCTTACCACCCTCAGACGGATGGTCAGACTGAGGTCACCAACAAAACTCTCGGTAATATCCTCCGAAAGTTTGTTAGGGATGACCAGCAGTGGGACTGACACTCAGCCCACGCGGAGATTGCGTACAACCACGCTGTTTCGCGAGCCACGGTGATGTCGCCATTCTGTTGCGACCTCGGCTACCACCCTCGCGTACCCGCGAATTTCCTACGACCATCGCGGTTGCGCCCAGACACTCGTTGCCCTGCGCTTGACGAATGGATCGCCCATATGGCGGCGATTATGAAGCGCGCAAGAGTTTAGCCGACTCCCAGACTCGCATGGCCGCACGAGCGAACCGATCACGAATGTATCATCCACTCAAAGTCGGTGACGATGTGCTAGTCGACGCACGCCACTTACAACTCGAAGCAGATACGCTTCACAAGTTCAGACGTCATTTCTTCGGTCCATGCCGGATCCTTCAGGCCGTCGATTCTGATATTGCCGCTAGTCCGGTCAGCTTCCGTGTGAAGTTACCTCATTACCTTCGACAGGCTCGCGTACACGATGTTTACCACGTCTCCCTGCTGCGTCCTTATTGCAAACCGTCCGAGCGTTTCGCCGGACGCCCTTATGGGCGCCCTCCACCTATCATGGTGGACGGTCACAAGGAGTTCGTTGTTTCCGACATCGTATCACGCCGAGTTACCGACGATACCCCTCCACGCATCGAGTACCTTGTGCGTTGGAAGGGCTACCCTGATGAGGAGGTTACTTGGGAGCCCCTCGAGCACTTGCAGCACGCTAGGATGTTGGTGCGTACATATGATCGTGCTCGTCGTGCTGAGACATCTGCTTCTACTCAGCCGACTGACCCTCTTCCTCCTCCTCTGGTTGAGGAGATTGCTGAGGACGCGCCCGCTCCCTTTGAGGCCGTTCCTCAGCCGCAGACGGTCGCGTCCGAGCGTCCACAACGCACTCATCGTCGCCCTTCGCGTTACAATGACTGATACTCTTATCCTCTGTCTTTCCCCACTGACTCACACCATCAGGTACTCCATCATCATCTCTTCTTCAGGATGCCAGCATTTTGCGGCTCTGCTTCGACATCGACTCCACTGCTACTTCATCGACGTCATCGACTACTTCGACAACTTCAGCTACTTTGGACGTGACTACTTCACGTCACCACCCTACCCTGTATACTCCCTTGCCCCTGTCGCATGATGGTTCTCACTTAGCTGGGTCTCTTTGAGTTTGGCTCTCTCTTGGTATCGCATAGGTATTGGGACCGTAGCGTTATCTTGGCTTCCTTGCTCCCAGATCTAGCTCCCTCTCCCAGTCGGTGAGTTATGTGCATGTTTCCCTCACCCACTGCCCTCATCACCCTAGCGCCGGATATTGCATGCCTCCAGTTCGGCATAGCTCCACCCTATTCCAGGCTCCCCTTTTCATGGTCAATCCTGCATGGTGTCACCCTTTTGTCGAGCATTACCCACCTTGATAGTCTATCTGTTAGGCTCATTGGTTTTGTTTCGCTACCACTCTCCCACCTTGAGCCTGATGACCTATCCCACCTTCATGTGTGACTGCCCTTAGGAGTTTCAATTCTTAGGCTGCATTCACCCCCTCTGAGACCATCCCACTCTTAGTGGTTCAGCGACATGACATTATCTTAAGACATATTGCTCTTTTCCTTTCAGCATTGAGGCCACTGGCTCCAGGACTTTAGGATTGTATCATACTACATTTCATTTTCTGCTGTTAGCTAGGATATGTATACCAAACATTTGCTTTTCTTTTGACATTATGTAGCTTAGGCTGCATCGCATGGACTCCGCATAGAGCTTGCTCCGCATCCTAGATTTCTCAGCTTTCTTTGTTGCAGAGTTCCACTGCTTTTGCGGATAGCGTGTTTATGGCTCTTGCGATCCATTACTTGTCTGAGGATCGTGTAGCGGGCCTTCATCTGCCCTGGCCCACAACCAGGGCCTATTTGGCTATTTTCCAGTTCGGCCTGTGGGACCAGGCCGTGGCCTGACCCCACAGGCTGTGTGGTTATTCAGTCCAGTCCAGTCCTGCCCGGTACCACTGTCGGTACCAGGCCAGTCCAGTCCAGTCCAGTCCAGTCCAGTTAGTCCGCTTGGGGTATACCCCAGCTGCAGTTTGTTTTGTGACTCATTCTTCATTTGCACAGATTGGAGTACGTGCATGTTGAGTCTGCGTTGGAGTTGCGCTGTCCCTTCCTGCTCCATCTCCATCTCCCCCATCCTCATCCCTTTGTCTTCATCCAAACGGACCGCCATCCCGGCGGGTCCGTCACAGTTGTGGTGTGGTAACGACTGCTTTGTTGCAGCTGTGTTTTGCCAGACGTTGATTGCATGGTGCGTTGTTTGATTTGCGTTGTCGTTCACAGACAGGATGTCTTCGTCGAGGGGCGAGGTGGAGCCAACAGGGACCTCCGGGAGGGAATCAGGAAAAGATTCCACGAGGCGGTCGTCTACGGCCATGAAATCGTGGTCGAACCATGCAAAGTCGAAATGATTCATCGACTGGTGTTGTGGAGACGCTTCCAACTCCACTGCGCAGCCATGTGGCCCTGTCATCTTCGTCGATGACAACAAAGGGCGTAGAGTGCTTGGGGCTGTTTTGCGGTAGGAGGACGCGAAGGGGGGCCGGCGACATTTTTATATGCAAAACGTTTATGGCGCCAAGAGCAACGTCGTTGCCAATTCGAAAGGGGCGCTGTTGGACCTTGAATTGTGTGAGGGGTTCGGAGCGGGTGCTGTGAACACCCCGTTCTACAGAGAACTCGTTCTCGGTGGCGGCTTTGTTTTGGCGCGTGAATTTTTCGACATGTTGGAGGACAAGAACATCGTTCCCGACGTCCACTGCTACGCCGGGCCCTTCCAAGAACTCTCGTTGCCGTTAAGGCTGTGCAGCGGTTGCGAGGCAAATGGCGCAGCGGCGGAGGGCGATGATCTGGGTTCTGGTCCGGCTACTCAGCTGCACCGTGGCGAGAGCCGAGGTCAGTTTGACGACAGCGAGGATGAGGGGCCTACTCCACCGTTGAGGGAAACGCAGCGGTCTGTGTTGTCTATTCCTGGGGTCCTGACTGACGCTCCAGTTCGACAGGAGAGTGGCAGCTGCAGGAAAGGTGGCAGCCTCTTCGGAGGTCGACTTGGAGACGGCTAGGGTGTGGAGGAGGGAACCGAGGGCGACCTGGGAACGCAAGGCACTCCACAAAAGAGGAGGGGGGATCGTAAAAATGAGTTCGCCGGTTCTACCAAGAAATTAAAGAGCAAGGCCCCGAGGACTGCGGGGGAGAAACGCAAGGGGACCGAGGGAGAGTAGGGCAGGCAGGGTGCCAAACGTCCAGCTTTGAAACATAAACTGGCTGCGTCAGGACCATCCACTCCACAGACGCCATGGCTTCTCATTGACGTCGACGCCGGGTCCTTCCTTGAGTACAAAGACGGCGTTCAGACTGAGCGGGAGTTCGAGATTAGCCCTGCGCAGGTCGTCGACCTCGGGGAGTGGGACGACCTATACAACCAGCGGTCCTTGGATCCCGTGCTCGTGGAAGGGATCAAAGAAGCGATGCGGTTGGCGTTAAAGAAAAAAAGAGCAGTCTTACGACTTACCAACCCTGAAGCTGCCATCGCTGGGGCTTCATAAACCAACTCCCGGGACCAAGGCACAACGTCCGAGGCCGGAGGATTGGAGGGATGAGCTGGCGGGACAATACTACTACTACACGGTGTGTGGGCAACACAACGCGGCTGCAGCGAGGTCGCTACTCGGCAGCGAGGTGGCCAAGAAATACAATTTCGAGCGGTGGCCTGCACGAATGGTGTACTTTTCGGGGGACGACTTCGAATGGTACTTCCTTGTCAGTTCCCAGGCCAACAAGAAGGACCTGAAGGCGCCCCCGAGACAGCTGAGGCTGTCAATGAAAGACATTCAGTGGCAGTGGAAGCGCGACAATTGCCCATGAGCTGTTATGGGGAACCCCAGCGGAAAACAGGATCAGGTCCGGAAGTGGCGTGAATTCTGTAATGTCGCGCTCAATATGATGCCGCACAACAACTTGTGGATTCTGGCAGATCAGAAGGGCGAGGAAGCCATCAAGAAGCAAGGCGCTGCCCTGCGTTCCTATTTCCCACTGGCGATGGCATGAGAGAACGTCTGGAAACTGGCCGTCGAGTTTTTCGAGAAATGGGAGACAGGAAGATTGCTCGGCCACGACGGTGCAAAGTGGATCATGCGGAAGAAGAAAGTCAAAAATGTGAAGCCCGGGGTTGCCTACATCGACAAAGACACGCTGAACAGGAAGGAGGTCGTTCATCGGCCCCCGGGCCACTTCTGGAAGAATGTGGAAGCAGGCCCTGGGCCACACGCACAGCAAAAGGCACGCCTGGCAGTTGGGCAGTAACTGTACGGGGCACAAGGCGCAGGGCCTACCGGCAGCTTCTGGGCACGGGCCCAGCAGCCCCAGCCCAGCCAAGCTAGACAGCAGACCAGGCCAGGCTCTTTCCATATAGGAAAGAGCTCGCTGCCTGGCCAGGCAATGGGGCACTTGCCAAGTTCCCAGTTGTGCTGCAGCGCTGCTTGAGCCAGTGCTCGCGTGCTGTGGGCTGCACTAAGGCAAGGTGCTCATGCACGTGCGGCCATGTGTGCAGGGTGCTGCTGAGGGCAGCGCCATAGCTCGGCCTCCATAGCCGGCCGAGCTTGGGTGTACAGCAAGGAGTAGTGGTCTTCGTGCACGAGGGAGAAGACGTGGGTGAGAGACAAAGGAGGGAGAGAGAGAGAGAGAGAGAGAGAGAGAGAGAGAGAGAGAGAGAGAGAGATGAGGATGATGACGTGAGGGCACATACCTGGTCTTGGCAATAGTCTACAACGGGCGACTTCTTTATGTACTTCGGTGCTGCTGCTGCTGTCAAGTTCGTTGTCAACAGTTGCATTGTCCATTTGTAGGCCAGAAGTAGCTGTGAGATAGTAGTCTGGGCGCTGAGCGCCAAGTAGGGGAAGGGCTCTGGATACATATGTTGGTGATGGCGGGAGTATGCTCTCATTGACAATCTAGATTCAGTGTTTGGTTCTCCATTGGTGGAATATCGGTGCAATTCTGCTTTCTGGACAGTGTGGGACTTCCTGGCTAAGCCTTTCAATGTGATTTTGCAATCTGAAATCTCTCAATCGAATTTCCGCTATTGCTCATTCTCCTCGCAAATATGAAGGGCGCAGTGACACTATTCATTTATCTAGGTTTTCTTTTAACTCCCCCTTCGTCGTGCTTCTCACGTACAAGGCTCGCCTCGTTGATGAAGTTGGGCACGACCAGCCTGCATCCCCGTGTGCCATAACAACCAACTTGTACCTGTGAGAAAGAGGCAGAGTAAAGGAGGAGAGGATAAACACGGAGAAGAGGGGTCAAAAGAAAACAAAACAAACATCGGTGAAGGGAATGTGTCGTTGACAAAAGAGAGGACATACATTGTAAGGGCGAAGCGATAACGCTGCGGGCTGTTTTCAACTTTTCAGTAAGAAAATCACGAGTCCTTCCAGAGTCGGCAGGGTAGGAGTAGAATGAGTAGCTAATCTTGACCATTGGTTGATATCAGTGAGGATCAACCCGATAGGGGTTTCAAACGTGTATAATTGATTGCTGTTCTATGGGACGCTGGACCCGGTTTCCAGAAGATGGTACTCCCCACCAATAGACCGGAGCGCCTGCGAGGGTACTGGGGGGGGGATGATCTTACCACCCTGCCTAGTAACCCGAGCAGGAAAAAAAAAAGAAAAAAAAAGGACGAGGTGGATGAACACATGGAAGACCTAGCTAAGCATACTCAGTACAACAATTGTCACAACGACTGGCATTGAGCATGCCCACCATACATTGAATTTCCCGACAATGGCATGTGAATTGCAGGCCAACATGAAGGGAAAATGGTAATCACAAAAGACCATCCATTCAGTATACCGCCCATGGCCGCAAAATGGGCATATAGTGTCCGGATGTGCATAGGGACAATCCTCGACACAGTGTGACATGACCTTCGACATAAAAGAGATTGTGGACGATTTGTTGTGGCAAGAAAACATCATCATTATGTAAGAAATCATCAACAGTAGTCATGGGCCATGGCATGGCCCATGATGTCGTTGTCAGACGACTCCCCAGTGGTTACAGGCATGTACATGGGCCTTGTAATGGCCAGGTATGTGCATAATGCAGACAGAACTGTGGAATGGAGGATTAAACCACTCGCCTGGTCGAGCATTGTGTAGTTCAAGTTGGTGGTTCCTTGTTGCTACTTACAAACAATGGTGAAGCCTTTCTCCCTGATCTAATTACAATCCCTCCTTGTTGCTACTTATAAACAATGGTGAAGCCTTTTTCCGTGATATAATTACAATCCTTTTGCTGTAGGTGGGGAAGCCTGTCGTGTTCCCTGATATAACGACAATCCTCTGCCTGAAGATGGGGAAGATCAACATCAATCTGAAGGGCAATCTCAACTTGGAAGGAAGTCTGACGGTGTATAAAACGGGTGATGCAGAATGTGCGACCACAGAGATTGGCAGGGATCTCAGGCTGGTGCAACGGATGCTGGCCAACAATGTGCAGATCACCCAGCTGGTGTTTCGAGCCCAGAATGTCTTGCGCTGTTTGCTGGTCAGTCATTTGCAGATCACCATCACCAATGTGGTCTGTGAGTGGTGGGGCAAAAATGTGTGGTTCATCCAAACAATGCTGGTCAGGCATTTGCAGATCCCCCTATGTCGACTTTCCTTTGTGGGGTAAACTGCGGGGCTGCATCCTGAGTAGAGACTGTCCCTGGACTCCGGAATGTACCCTGGATAGGGATATATGGCCCATAATATGGGTGAATATGGGTACGGATGGATATGGACAGACTGCTTTGAAATTCGCCCTCTTGCAAGTGGACAGCCAGGCAGGTGACAACGTAAGCAACATTGTTGGAAGAACGCAACGGTGAATGAAACTGTGTGTGTGTGTGTGTGTGTGTGTGTGTGTAAAACGAGTAGAAGGCAAGATGCAACAACACTTAGTCTTATCATTCGATGGATCATGAATTAGACACCGAATGTACCTAAAACTGTCTGCATGTAAGCAACCATAGACCTTTCTCAGGCTTCGTGTACACTTTCCCGGCTTTGAGGGAATGAAACAAACAATATAAGCATAAAAAGATAGCTTAGACAGGCACATGGAAAACACAGTAGTAACGGACTGTTTCCTCGGACTGCCCAGGCTTCCCACGCGGCTGAACCCTCCACAGTCTGTATATTGATGCTTTCAATCATGAGGTGACATGAACTACTTAGACCCCTGGTGTGAGTGGACAACTACCGGTAGGCAGGTAGCAATGCAAGCAACAACGCAAAGTTGAATGAAACTAGGCACCAGCCGAAGCAATGACAAAGCACATGGACCGGACGGCACAGGGAAGGCAGGTAGGCGGCCAAAGGACAGAGCAAGCAGCAGTGCAGAGCAATGAACAGCACGCAACAACAGCTAGGCATCTATGCAACAAAGCAACATGAAAGCGAGGCAGGACTGCAGCCAATTTGAAACGACAGGGCAAACAACAGTGCTACTCGATAAGCAGTGGGCAAGACGGGCAGCAAGGCAAGAAGGCAGCAAGGTAGCAAGGCGACAAAGGCGACATGGAAACAAGACCACAAGGCAGCGAGGCAGCATGGCAGCGAGGCAGCACGGCAGCGAGGCAGCATGGGAACCAAGCATCGAGGCAAGCAGCACTGGGGCACGTTGAGCAGCATGCAACAAGGCAGCAAGGCAGCAAGGCCGCAAGGCAACAAGGCAGCGAGGCAAACGGCAGGCAAACACTACCAAGACAGAGCATCATGGAAAGATAAAGCAAGCAGATGGGCGGCCAGACGGCCGAGCAGCACTGACAGGCAGTCCAAGCATCCACGACCGACTATAGCAGATCATCACTTCCCCACACCGTATGCATACCTGAACAGAGCACAGGTCGTCAAGTCCACATCATCATCAAAGACAGGAGTCACTTCGACGTATGACTGTCATCATCCAGGGTTTACACAGACACAGGCAACCCGGACACAACCACCCGTGAATTAAACAGCGTTCCAGGTACTCTGGACAAGCAGCCACGGGCCGCACGGACTATTTGGCGCATCTTAAAGGCTTCCACTCAGACAGAAGAAGCGCAGGAAAAGACCAAATAAACAAAATGAACAGCAGAAAGGAAATACAGTAATTCTTCGTACTTTAGAATGAGAAAAAGAAAGAATTTATACATCACAACAATCACGAGTGTGTCGTCATACTCGCCAGTCAGTTCAATCGGACTTTCTCTCGACTCATCATATTCAGGCCCAACAGTCCAACCACGAAGCATTGGACTGACGGATAAGGACTCAACACGCCACCAGCAGTTAGCAATACCCCTCAAAGCAACAGAGCTCACAGGACATCTTCAGCACCACGGCAACGTACGTCGCAACCGCCTACGAAATCACGCCGGTTTCCAGTCGCCCTCCCGCTCACTATGACAGGCTTATCAACACGAGCGCTCTCACTATTACAAGACTTACAGACTTGCAGACAAATGACATACGTTCACAAACTCACTATGCCAGGCTTATCAAACACCGCTCACTATTACGAAGCTTATCACAACAGTGACATACGTTCACAATTACGCCAGGCTTATCAAACACCGCTCACTATTACAAGGCTTGCAAACAACAGTGACATACGTTCACAATTACGACTCAATATCTTACACTCAGTTACTGCGTTCAAAAAATTGCAGCGTGGCCACAACCACCGTGCAGAAATACTGCTCTCCATGGCGATAGTTTCCCGGTCGAACCATGGCCTCATATGAAAATAGCAAGGTCACTCATTCTCTTTCTTTCTCTCACAGGTACTCTAGATTAAGACTTATAACGATAAAACTTCGTCAGTTCGTGGAACCTTACATTCGTAAAACACAGACCGGATCTAGAATCCGGATGGCACACGAGGAATGACGTTGGTACTCTGAATTATCGACGTTCAAACTCTGAAATATCTCAGACCGGTTCCTTCGGGGATTACATCGCAAACACAATGAACTCTAGGCACTCCCCTGAACATCAAGCAACGTACTGCGACTCGTTAATTTAGCCCCGATATGACATTCCGCGGCGAGCACAACAAGGGCACAATTCCAATCAGCAGATCACCACCATGTCACATTTACAACAAATACAGGGCATATCATTACATTGACAAATACACGTAATGTCCATACTAGCCTACGTCAGTTCTACAATGTTGGAGGCTCGCCGCATGGACATATATACCCCCAACGATTGATTCAACCAACTGACGCCCTCTATTAGGACAGGAAAAAACGCTTTCGTTCTTCCTCCAGTTGAACGACAGCTTCGACTATTTTGGTTATCACCTCTCTCCCTCCTCCAGTACATGATCGGCAATCTCTCTCTCTCTCTCTCTCTCTCTCTCTCCTTCCTTACCCCAAACCCTAGTCAACCCTTCTTCCCTCTCCCCCATCCCATTACGTTCATCACGCCCTCACCCTCGAATTCACGAAATGAACCTAAAGCCATATTAATCCTCATCTTTTTACGTACGACGCAAGTTCCTCTCTTCGAAATCCACGTCGATCTCCATTCGTACGACGCGATTTTGACTTCCTATCTGCACGAGGCACACGCTTTCAGAAACTTCCTTCTCCTTACACGCTCCCCTGAGTCCCTCCGCGTCCTCTTCTTCCTCCTCCCCACATCTTGCGTGGAATACGAGAGTAGACCCTAAACACACACACAGCGAATTCTAGTAGGCGTCGCAGAGATTCCGAGCGGAGTTGTGGATCGCGAAAGAGACGGCGGCCGCTGGGAGGAGCTTCAGGTTGTTGACCGCCAGTCCGGCRTACAGCGCGCCAACTCCCTCTCTCCTAATGATCTCCCTGACGGCGTCCATCATGCCGGAGTAAACCCGTCCTGCGGCGGGTCCCATGGCTGCTTGCAACTGCATGCGCCTCTGAACGGTCTCCAAAGGATAGAGCGCGGTTTGGGCGCACAGCGCAGCCGCCGTGGCTATCAATACGATCGCCACTGGCCCAGGCTCTGCATCCGCACGGCCTTGTCTCTTCTTGTACCAGCGCTCCACTGTGGAAAAGGCATACCCGCTGAGGATAAAGTAAGGAATGGTGCGAAGGATCTGCGGAGCTATGCCGTCGTAGAACCCCCTTACGCCTCGGCGTCTCATGATCGCTCTCCCGATGTCGCCAGCCCCTCTTCCGTCTGCCCCGGGCACTACTCCAACACCTCTCCCACCTGTCCCCGGTATCCCGGCGCCGCCCACACCTCGACCTCCATTCCCACCCACTCCCCCAACGGTATCCCGAACTGCCTCCGTCACTGCCCCCGCCGCCGCCCCCAGCCCGCGGATCGGCGCTTGCACTGCAACTCTTAGTGTGTCGATAGGATACGACGTAAGAATTCCGGCCGTTGATGCCAGCGTCGCGATCGCGTTTCGCTGCCAATCAGGCATCATCCATCCCTGCTGTCTCTGCCCCTCTGCAGCATCCGCACCCCCCCGTTTCTTCGCCGGACCTGCTGTGCCTTGCCTAGCTGGGTCAAACCGATTGGTCAACGCCCTGTAGACTAGCGCCTCCACCAACTTGGCCGGATACAGCCGAAGAACGTTGAGGAGATTACCTCTCAGAAGCCCTCTGTCACCCTCGGCCGTCCGGATCCGGTTCAATAACACGCGAGGGTCCTGCCTCGCCAGACTGGGATCARCCATCTGCATGATCCTCATCCTTTCTAGGGGACCGACGACGGTTCGAGCGACTGCGCCGGAGATAGAGGCGGCGACCACGTCTCTCATGGTTTGCAGCTCAGGGAAGCGAAGGTTGGGCATCACGCCACGCTTCTCGAGAGCGAGGGGCAAGTTGCAGTCGAAATCTCCGCCGAAGTCTATCGCAGTTCCAGCGCGTGCCGGTGAGCCCACAACCTCTTCAGCATCCCTCGCCCACAGCAGGTACTTCCGCAAGTCTTCGAACCCAAACCCTTCGGACGGAGGCTTGCCCACGCTGGCGTTCACCAGCCGATCATCCTGATACACCTTCCTAGSCGGCAGGTTGAACCTCTTCAGAGCCTCTGGAATAACCTCCTTGGACACAACACCCCTTTGTCGTTTGTCCAGCTCCTTGAATGTGGCATGCAGCCTGTCCTCCAATCCCCTCGTGAACTCCGCAAACTGATCAAACGTCACACGACCGCCCGCCTTCTGCACATACTCCTTCACGTCCTTCCGAGAGACGGGGAGTCTCAGCTTCTCCGCAGCTCTCCTCAGTTCCTCCTCGCCAAGAGCACCGGATCGATTGCGGTCAAACTCGTCAAATTGCCGCCTCAAAGTGGAATTCTGCGGGGGCTCTTCGCGACCTTCATCCTGACGAATTGCCACGACAGGGAGACATAGCCGACGCCGCCGCGTGCCTGCCACCTCAGCACCCGTCCAGCGTACCGTAATCATCGGAGCCCCATGGCCAGTCCTAGACCCAGACTTCCCACCGCACTCACGTGTTCCAGGTCCCATTTCTTCACCATCCCCTCCGCGACCATCTGATGACGACAACTGGCGTCTGGATGACCCCTCGCCGCTGCCCACTTCTGCACCCTTTGTGTCTGACGTCGCCCCCAGGCCCACAAAGACCACCGAGGTCGAGACACCACAGGGTGAAACAACTGCCCCACCGGTCAGATGGGGACCCATCACCCCCCAACCGATCGTGGCACTGGGTAAAGAATGTGCGCACGTGCGGCGATTCTTTGCAATGGCCTCCATTGCGCTTCCTCTGACACAGGCCCCCGCTCGAACGAGGTCAGCTGTACGCCGAAAGGCAGCAAACTGACTGATGGGCGGTGCCTCTTCTAAGCCGCTGGCGACGTAGGACTCCGGGCCTCCACCCCAGTTTCCAACCTCGGCTGAAGCTCAGTGCGTATGTGATCGTCGTCGGGATACCCCCGCTCCCTYYCCGCTCACTCTATCATCGTACACTAACCCGAGCAGGCAAACAACAAACCAGGGCTATCCTCTCGTGACGACAACGGTGCCTCCCCCCTGCACTCTCTCCCACATCGCCTGCTATAGCACCAGCCATTCAATCACGGAACTGCTACTCCTGGTCAGCTTATCAATCGCCTTTTATAGTAATACCTCACAGTCTTTCGATCCCTCTGTTCTTCTGCCGTCCATGACCCTTGCGGGACGGTCGTCGGTCGTGACTCCACGCACCGAGGGCCTGGTTCCACCACCCTCAAAATGGCAATGGGTGTTCTCTTCGAAACATCCACTCCTATGTTCGTTCGCATCTGGTGAGTGGGTGGAAGGAGCCCCCGAGACACCAACAGGCAGCACCGTTTTCCGCTGTCGTTTCACACAACCCATTCCCCTGTCGTTTCACACAAAAAACCCACATTCTCGGAGGGAGTCCTGCACGATGTCCCAATTGCCAAATATCTCTATATATCCAATATATCTATTCTATTTGAGATTTCCTGACCCTACATTATGACGAGAGTAGGCGGCCTGAACCATGGGATCTGGGTAGGTGGGGACCTACCCGCTAGATGCTGGTAAGTCAAACGCACTTTGGATACCAACGGACATCAAGTGGTGAGATGTCTAACGCTGCAAGGCAACAGTCAAGTCACTTGCCTTCTGTGTTTCTTTCCCCAGCACAGAAGTTGTCCGGTCCTTCAGGCGTAATGCATGGGATGCACTGTCAGGTCCGTATCCCTCGTCTGACTCTCTTTAGTCCCCACAGACGACCTGAATGCATTACAGTACTGTGTTTCGTCACCCGGAGGAGGTGAAGCTTTGGCTCTTGGCGTTGTCTTCATGTGAGTCCGTGGGAATAGCCTTCGGTTAATGAGAGACAAAAGTAGCCCAGTTTGCATGTCATAGACCTCACGGCTCGCTGTGTTTTTTCTTTTATAGGAAAAATACAGTCGAGTTGATGTAGCTCAGTGGTTAGTGCGCATTGTGGTATGAGGTTGCGGCTTCAAAACTCAATTACAGCCTTGCACATGGACACCGGCAGGGCGTTAGAATGACGCAGGGCTTGACACATTGGGCTGATGCACCATAAGCTTACACAAACACTGCCTGCGCTCCATGGTGTTGTATGTCGCTCGGGTCTTGATACTGCGTGGGTTGCTTGTGGCTGTTGCCCCTGGTTGTTCTGTTGATCTCCCCAGTCTGGCCCTATCACACACAGGGGCCGTTTGCTATTGTTGCTCAAATGGTAGTCTTCAGGTCACATGTCATAGATCACGGGTTCGAGCCTGGCTGGGGACTTTGGGGAGGGTTCTTGTCCAGCTTGGCCTGTCATCTCTTCAAACGAACACATAGTTCCCTCTACATAGCACTGCACAATACACATATCTGGCCTTCGGCCACATACATCTCGCTATACAGTTACACAGAGCACACATAGACTGCACATATCTGGCCTTCGGGCACATACATCTCGCTATACAGGTACACGCAGCACACAGAGCCTTCGGGCAGATACAAAAACACATGGCCCTATGGCTCATACAAACATACATAGACTCTGGGCACACACACACACACACACAAATTACGATACTGGGCTGGGGGGTCTACTCACGCATGGCTTAGCTCTAGGGTAGGGGTAGGGATATAAGTCGCTCCGACTAGTCTGAGCTCCGCCTAGCCTTGGGTAAGCTAGGGGAAGGACGGTAGGATGTGTCCACGGGCGCTGGCCTGCCTTACTTAGGTAATCCTGCTGGGTAGACTCTCTGAATTGGGCCTGTAGAAGATTGCATGAGCCTGGCGTCCGAAGTTCCCGTACGGCAAGGTTCGTCCTCTTCCGCTTCCTTCAGGGCTGGGTGGTTGGCCCTGCCTTGGTGCTTGTCACTGCTGTCTGGTCCAAGTTGCGCTCAATACTGGTACGGTGATGGTCCTGCGTGCTGGTCACACTGAGGTAGGATAGTAGAGACAGGGGGTGATGTGACGCTCAACCTCACGCCGGGCCCGACTTCCTGATCGGAGTGTGAAGGGGGGCCTGGAAGTGGGAAAAGGGGTATGCCAGGGATTTTTGGAAAGTGGGGGTGGAGTCCCAGGTCGGAACTGAGATCTCCTGTGACAAGTTTCAGGGATGCGAATGCAGGAGGAGGATAGGTACGGGTCGGAGTCCTGCTGTAGGCTTAGGGATGGGGCGCTACCGCCTCCGGTGGTTCCGTCGTCTGGGTTGGACGCATATCTCGTGGACCGTCGGGACGCTATGGCTATCTCGCTGATTGATCACCTGTCGGCGCCGAACATCACAGGCCTCAGAGTCGGACGCGGCCGGTCTCAGCTGAAGGCTGTGTGCCCGTCGCTCCTCCTCCGATCAAGTTCGTCGGAGGAAGCCGGAGGCGCGGTACTCGCGATCCCGCAGGCACTCCGCGCACTGGGGATGTGGCCAGTAGGGGGCAATGGCGGGCAAGGGGACGACCGTTAAGGAGTGATAGGGCAGAATGCGGTGGTAGGGAGGGAACTCGGTCCCTAGGATAATGATCCCGGGTTCCGTGACGACGTGACACGTGTATGGGCTAGAGTAATTGGGGAGATGGGGGATATGTCCCAAAGCCTGGTCGAGGTCCCACTCGCAAATAAGTTCGTTCCCCATCAGGTAAGGAAAGTTGGGAGGTTCCACCCAGGGTCGTGCAGACAAACAAGAGTGCTCCCAATGTTCGGGGAATTCCCAATCCCTCAAACACTCGCAGTTAGTGGCACGAAAGGGAACGCCGAAATTCATGCTGCAAGTCAGCGGGAACATCAGCCATTCGGGAAGTTAGTCGAGTTCGGGTTTCGCAGACGCGCTCGTAGGCAGCGATCGTCTTGATCGGGCCTACGTGTGCGTGCGCAGGGCCTGTCCTCGATCGGGTAGGTGAAAGCCAGCGAGACACGCGATGGGTCGTCTTTCTAGAGAGATGGTCATCTATCATGCCTACCCAATTCATGCACAGACAGAATCGCGCCTATCTATCATATATCCAACTAGCTTACATACAACCAGAAAGAATAGAGGATCATGCAGCAATTCTTTGGCCAATCATCCCATGGATCACACAATCCCCGATTGCTGGTAACCAATCAATCAGATTTGCCAATTCAAAAAGGACAGAGAGTAAGGGAAGACAACCATACATCAATCTCCAAAAAGAAACAAAAGGAAAATGATTGAAAAATCTGAGATACCGATCCGAAAAGGAAAAGGGCGACTAGCGCCGAATACCAAAATTGCTCAGAAGGATAGAAGAAGAAGCCACATTGCTTATAAGGATAGAACAAGAAGTTTTTCACACCCCTCTCGCCTCTCTCTCTCTCTTCTCTCTCTCTCTCTCTTCTCATCTCATCAACCCGATGCGGGCAGTCCGTCGCCTCGCACACACAAAGAGTTGTCACCCCGCTTAATCCGGGCATGCAAGTCAGGTTCGCCCGTGCACGACAGTCCGTCGCGGTCCCACGTCAACCCCGCATCATCCCGCATGCCCAGCATCAGCTTGTCTTATGTAACCGGCTGAAGGCGCGTTCACGTTCAAACGTCCGCGTTCATACCCCCCGGGGCCGCGTTCAATCGCGTTCAAACGCGCTGCGTGCCACGTGGCGTGGAAAATTTGAACGCGACATCGGGGGGCGCGCGTGCGTGTTGCAGACTACGGGGTGGAGGGCCTCGTTCAACAAACTACAGAAGTGCAAAAAAAAAAAAACGGGAGGCCCACCACCCCGTAGGGAGCGACGTCGCTGCTTGGGAGGGGGCTGTGGGCCAATGCCCCAGAAAAAAACGGAAAAAAAAAAAAAAGTTGTGTGAATGTGTGTGTGTGTGTGTGTGTGTGAATGCTCCTCTTTTTTTCCGGGGTGGTGTGGGGAAATCCCCTTAACACGGCTTAGACGGCCCATGCAGTCTCTCTGAAGGGTCCTCGCAGCCATGTGGCGCAGACCCCCCCGCCAAAATCAAGGCAGACACTGAATATGAAGGAGAGCAGGAGCTGGCCATATATATACTCAAGATCCGGATTCATGTCTGTGTTTCAGCAGTTATGGGTTGCTCACGTAGCTAGGCCCTGTTGGTCTATGCACGTCTCACGGCTTGGCTGCACTGCTCACCAAATGTGCAAAACTATAATGAATCTTCCGCAAAATGTGGAATTATACGCCCCCATATGTTTTGTCTTTTTCTTTCTCGTTTTTCTTTT